ACACGGGGGGCCCGCCCCCACCCTGCCCCCGCCCGGCCACCAAGCCACGAGCGTCTCTCGGTGCAAATTTCTGTTGAGCAGTTGAGCCTCGTATGCAGTGGTTGTATGTTTCGGTATGGATCACGTGACTAGGGCCAGCCAATCATTTGCTTCAGTTTGGCTTGTGCATGAATCGACTTCCCTGTAGTATGCGGTGCCTGTCACTTTGATCGATTTATATGTGAGTATTGGTGAGGTACAACAGTGTTTACTGGGCACTGACTCATGAGCTTTGTTTCTGTTTTCCATCCACAGAAATTGTCGTGAACACCTGCCTTCTGAGAATCACTGTCTCCTGTTGCTTCCATATCGTGCATACTACAGTGATTAACATGAGTGAAAGGTCAAACATATCAGTCTTTTACTCGATTAGGTAGCTTTCATTTTCTAGTTTATGGAAAAAACTAATTTCCGTCAGCTTATAAAGATGGAGTACTTGAACCATATTTACCAGAATCGAAGATGCATCGACAATTTTGCTGTTCCGCTATATCCCTCCCCTAATTTTTGGCCAGCCTCGGAAGCCCACCACGTATTTGTATCTTTATTCTTTGATGTCAGACTTTTGTTCCGTTTGGTAAGTGTCTATGTCGAGTAAATGATGTGAGACAGCTATTTCCAAAGAGATATTCAAGCAGATGATACTGCTATTGACAAGTCTAGGAATATTTTCAATTGGGATTTCGATCTACTGCTGAGGTCGAGAAGCGCATTTACGCTTCTCACGTAACTCCAGCAGGGGAGTATGGAATCCGTAACTCATGAGGCCGAAAACTTGAAAACCTTTTGATCTACGATGCCAGGTCCATTGAGGCCAAACAGGAATTGTCAGTCTCAGTCAGTCAGACCTAAATGCTTAACTTTACTGGCGTTTTGGACGTTTTGAGACGTCTGACCGTTGCCCTTTAACAGTAGGAGTCGCAGTTTTTTCTTCAGGACGTCTCCCCCTGAAGGTGAGGCGGAGAGAGACTGATGTTGATTCAGTGCTGCGCCCAGTGATTTGGTCGCTCTGGCAACATCAGGTACTCCCTTGAGTGGTATTAGTTGCAATTTCAAATTATGTCATTGCCCTTGTCTACCTGTGATGTGCGAATTTCATCCAAATGGAACTGGGATTGAAGGAGGACCACATTTTGGCAACTGCTCCTAAAGGCAGAAGTGAATGGAGTCCAAATAGTAACAAAAAGTAATTATCCGTTCTCTAAAAATACACTCCTTTACAAAGCAACTGGGTTTTCACGAGAGACACCTGTGGATCACTAGTTCATGATATTCTTCAACTGAATTTGCTGCACCCAGGCCGCCTCATGTTTCAATTAGCACGATATTCGAGATATCGCAGTATATTTCCTTAAGTGAAACTACTCACAAGTTTGTTGAAAAGTCTTCGACAGCCCACGACCGGTTTCGCCCTTCCAGTTCGGGCCCATCAGGTAGACGCAGTCCCCGAGTTTCCGTCAAACTGATTTCTACTTGAAACCAAATTGCACGAAATTAGCGAAATACACCCATTTGCAAACTAATTTGGTTTTTCGTGAGACTCATCTGGAACCCAGCTGAATCTCTCGTTTGTGGTGTTTCCAGACAACTGAATGTGCTGCACCAGGCCGCTTCATGTTTCACTCGCTACGACATTCGAGATATCGTGATACATGTATAGACTTAATGTATTACTCATGAGGTTGCTGAAAATTCTTCGACAGCCTACGACCGGTTGCACCTTTATTGGGGTTCATCAGGTAGGCGCAGTCTCCGAGTTTCTGTCAACCTTACGTTCTACTTGTACTCATTTGCAAATCATTTTGGTTTTCGCGAGAGACTCGACTGAATCTCTCGTTTATGATACTGTTTAACTGTATGTGCTGCACACAGGCCGCCTCATGATTCAGTTGGCACGATATTCGACATATCGCAGTATATTTTCATGAGGGAACGAGTAACCAAAATTTCGTCTCCGTTTCGCTTTGCCGTATTGTGCAATTCATCAGAAGGATATTGCAGGTCCGAATTCGATCTTCGGGTCGACATTTTCACTCAAAACCCTCAGCCTCGTTAGTGGTATTTCGACACACAACACTTTTTTGTGTGGTGGCATTCCGTATTTGGCTCCAGTAATATATATATATATATATTACAAAACAAACAGAGTGTTACACCTGATGTCACAAACTACGACCAATTTCCAAACTAACTTATGACGAGTGATTATATGAATGAAACGCTTCGCCCCACTAAACGCTCGATTTATCAAAAAAACCATGATCCTTCATCGTTTTCTGGAACCGATCGGACAGCTCTTGTATCGTCTGACATGAAGTGGTCTGATACAACTGTAAAAATAAACGTACCTGCTTCATAATATTCGAACAGTACTCTTCTGGATCAGTTTTCGGATCCACCAAAGTTTCGCAGTCCTGAGAGGTACAAAAGGCGTCACTCGGTTGGCACTGGCACGGTCGACATCCATCGGAGAATCTGTGGGTTCATGATGGGAAACTCGGTGGGTGACGAGCTAAGAAGGTGTACCGTACAATACAGGTAAATGAACTGGTGTGTGACCAAACTAATCGCTCGGAAACTATACATTCTACCATCTGTTCGATCTGGAGTCCTCGGTTTCACTCCTTGCAGCAGTCCTGCCTTTATCGTCGACGATATAGTTTTGGGTGCATTAGTACTCATCGAGTATATCGGGGAACACCATTGCTCCGGGGGACCCGTTGTGTCAGGGAATTAAGGCTCCGCGGGACAAGCACCGTCTTGACTACAAACGGCGGTTTCCTTTAGGGTCCCTTTCTACTTGTGACAGTCACAATCAAATCTACACTTTTTCCATAGTTCTGAAATTACCTGGGATGCGCAAAAAGACGCCCAGTGTACGCTCGTCTTGTTCTGCCATCTTTCAGAACTTACAAATCTTATTCGAGTATCGTTCCAAGAAATGAGTGAGTAAAATCTGAAAAAACTACCCAAGGTCAGATGGACAACACAGCCTTTGACTGGTAAATTTATTGATTCATGGTGGGATGAACTTGTGAGTCAGTGAGTCCTATTCACAAGGCCAGTATGCATTTTCTGTTGACACCGCCCAAAAATGGAGATTGCTTTGGGTTGGGGTGTAAACTGATTTTCCCTCCCTCCAAACAAGAATATCTCCATATAGGGTTCCGTCGAGAAATTACTCCTCATCAGATGTCTCTTTATCAACCCCGTTTCTAGCAAAATTTGTGGTCGATTCAACGGTTACGCGTAAAGCACTAACCACAAGAACGGTCTGTTATGATGAACGTCACTCAGACAGGCTCGCGTCGCTGGACATTTTGTTGCTGGTCCCTACAGCAGGGAGCACTCTTCATATTTTGTCCTCTTCTCCAAAAGCCAACGGACTGAGTGGTTGGATGGTTTATCTGAAATGAGTAATTGGATACTGATGTACTGTAAGTTTCCATATGAGTCTACCAGTTGAGCCGTTTTCCGACTTATTTGCGCCCCAACAGCCATGGATGATCAAAGCCATTCATGCTGATCAAACACAATCAGTCTCTGTTCGAGAGTACCGTCCGGTTCCCCAGGGAGCGACAAAACAACATGTTTTTGAGCAAACTGACCAGATTACTTGGTAGCCTGTTCCACGGATTGTGAGCTGTTCTCTCGATTACCGGAGTTACACAGAATGAATGCAGTTGAACTCAGAGTCCCGTACATAAGTACAATGCAGTTTGTGTCAAACGGCGTGAGCAAACCTGGTCTTTTTCCAGACCTCTTGTGTGTGAGTCACCAAACTGGCTCAAAAACGGGTTCCAGCAGAGGTGTTTCAACATGTAGAACGATGGAATACAACCCCGGGTAACTTTCCAGTACACGCTGGTCATACATTTTGTTCTTTCCCCGAGTTATTCAATTTTTTTCAAAATTGTCTCTGACTCGGAGACAACCGATAAAGAAAGGACAACGTTGAACACATCAGTTTGACGGATTGACAATAGCTACTAAAACTCTGCCGCTGGATTGCCAAAATAATTTCACAACTTCGAAGAAACAGAGAGGGACTTACTCAAATCCTTGTGGTTTGCCTTTACAGAAGTCTCGTTTGTCTCCGATGCAGGTAACTTCCAGTTTCACCTCACCGTCTTTCGTGACTGTTGTTTTAGTTACTGTGTTCTCGGTCTGTTGTGCATGGACCAACCACATCAGAAGGTGGCCAAGCACAAACCAGGTGAGTTTCATCTTAACCTGTCCCATCGTCAGTACAGAGAGGTGACAGAAACCAGCCATATATACATCGGTAGTATGCGGGCAAAATGTCACATTTATTGGCCCGTGTGGGAGCTGTCCATACAGTCGATCTGTCGACAATACTTTGGGGCATACGGTGGTGATTAGAAACTAGAAATAGTTCCCTGTGAACTACTGAAATTGCCTCTACACAGAATGAATATGCGGGACTGTTGGCTGGCTTGATTTACGCGGGGAGAGATTACAACCGGACACAAAAAGCTCGGAGCGGGCGAACATGTTGTGAAGGTGTGCCATGTTCTTTTCAATTCCTCTCAAAATGATTTGCAATTCCTGGTTTATTCGACCACGGTTGATCCGAGGTGTTGATTGTTTGATTAGTTCATTTCAATTTAATCACCATTATTGATTTTTCCTACACTCAAACACTAATGAGTGAGGACATATGATATTAGCATTGGCATTCGGTTTTGTCTTGTTGGAAGGCTGGCCGCACACACACCGTACTGATAAGCTCCACAAGGAGGAAACAGCTTTGATGGGATTGAGTTTCTAGAATTCCTTGACTCTCCGCAAGTGGAACTTTACTCATCCAAAAGATGAGAGTACTCATCATCATCCTCATTGTTAGGATCGAAATAATCAGCCAATTCTACTCCGGCTAGCCCCAGCTTTTTTCGGAAAGTTTGGTAACAATCGGTAGATTTATTGCTGGGCAACGTTTTGCTTCGTCAATTTGATACCTGGTGACCCACCCTGACACCTTGGC